GTGCGAGATTGATGATGTAGGAGTGATTGAGTGGTGGGTTCTCAGAGGAAGATCGGGCTTTGTTTGAAACTCGGATGGAAAATGAGTTCGGGCCCGTTGACATGTAGCCCACTTTGATCCTGTGGTCGCCCTGGGCGAGGTAGGTGCCGTCGTCTGTCCGGTACGTCTGCATGGATGTAGGCTGGGTGGAATTGAATACAAAGATCGGACCAGTATTGTTAACAATGGGAGAAGGAGGACCAACCTCCTCCTCTTCCTTATCGTTGAGGTCCACAGTGAAGGAGAAGACGGCTGGCGTTGGATCAGGCAGGTTATCATCTAACCCCACGGCGCGCACCTGGAGGACATGCCGGCCCTCAGATGCTCTTATCACAAAGTTGGGATTGTGCCCTTGCTGCCATGCGCCGCCGTCTAGCTTGGTCTGAAATGAGAACCTGACAGGTCTATCCCGCATGGCCCGCACAGAAACATTCACCCTGTTCCCATTCCTGTAAACAATGCAGGAAAGCACCTTCCAGTCAGTTTCAGAAAAAAAAACAGTCTCTGTGTGTGTGTGTGTGTGTGTGAGCGAGCGAGAGAGAAGGGGGGGGGGGGGGGGGGGGGGGGGGGGGGGGAGGGGGGATTACAACAGACCAAGTCAGCAAAATGAGTGTTGGCATGCCCACAATATGTGAGCCACATGGGAGAAAAAGAGAGGTCGTCATGCAAGGAGAATTGGAGAGATATGTTTGGACCAAAGCTCCAGTTTAATAGACGAAATGCCCCAAATCTTGCTAAATTGAAATCTCGAGGGCAAAGCCAGAGGGCGGGAGCATGCACGCTTACATTCATCAATCAACTAACGAATCAATCGAGTCAAGCGAATTCAATGTCATTCAGTCGAGTCCGGGCCTGTCCAGCCCGGTTCAATCCAGTCCAATCTAAACGCAATCCGACAGAGTCCATCCAACCCAACCAAATGAATCAATCCAATCTATCAGATTCATTCCATAGATCGAATTCATTATTTATCGAACTCATTCAGTTCTATCAAACTCATTCAATCAAATTCAATCAGTCAAATCAATTCAATCAGTCAAATCAATTCAATCAATGTAATCAATTCAACCAATTCAATTAATTCAATCAACTCAATCATCAACCAGTTCAGGTAGGAGTGTGTGCTCATATCATCATGCCTATCTGTTATGTTATTGCGGGCGTTTCAACAAAAAGAAAGTTCCAATCAATCAGTTAATTCAATCAAACAACTCAATCGATCAATTCAGTCAAATCAATCAAATCCATCAAATCAGTCAAATCAGTCAATCGATCAATCAATAAAGAGAAAAATTTTGGAATCCGATCAGTCAATCAAATCAAATTAATCGATCGATTGATCAGTCGGTCAGTCCGTCATCTAAAACCCAATAAAATCGAATCCAGTCCATCCAACGTGCAAGCAAGCAAGCAGCCAACCAGCCAACCAGCCAATCACCCAACCAGCCAATCAGCCAATCAATCCATCTATCAGTACATAAATCAACCATCCAATCATTCAATCAAATCCACTGACATCATATTAATAAACCAAATCCATCACTTCAATCGGGTTCCGGCTTATCCAGTCCATTCCATTTTTCCATTTGATCCTTCACGGACATGACATGAACCGCTTACAATTTGGTGGTAATGATCGTGTCTATCGGATCCACCGTCCAACGGAGAACCAACGGCTCTGGATCGGCGTTGCCGAGGTAGTCGAATGCAGCAACAGTATATGTGTACCGTCCTGGAACAAGACTTGTCATGGCCTCGGTCATTTGGCACTTTGATGTGGGCATTGGGGCATCGGGGCAGAGCTGGATTTCCGTTGTCTCGGGGTCCCTTGAGTCAGTAATGCGGAAGCCTAGTGCAGGTTTAAGGGCGTTAGAGAACTCGATTGTCACCGTGGATGCTGCCGCACTCACTGTACGGAAGTCGACTAGCTCAGTGTGCGGCGCTCTCCTGTCTGCTCATCATCCAATCAAACAACAAGTCGTTGCCAACAGAAAACAACGAAGTTGGTAAAAAGTTACTAAAACAATAACGATACCAAACATTTGGCGCAAACAGAAGAACAACAAAGCTGGCAAAAACTGAAAAACAACAAAGTTGGTGAAACGGAAAAACACCAAAGATGGTGGTACACACAAGGTCGCTACGCAGTACAAACAGGATCATGGCAATAAACCTGGGACAAACAGAGGAACAGCAACCTTGATAAACACACACACACACACACACACACACACACACACACACACACACACACACACACACACACACACACATTCACACAAAAAGATTAAAAAAAAGGGAAAGAGAAAAGGGAAAAAAAAAGGGCAACAACAAAGTTGTCACAGGCAGAAAAGCAACGAAGGGGGGGTGTCGAGAGCACGAGGCGATTTGCAAATGGAAGACAACCTGCTGTTGCCGTTCGTTTGCACGTTACAAGGGCAGGAGATCTTCATCCTGGGCTTACGTGCACCAGACAATAAGTATTTTTTATTCCTGCCTGCCATGTGGTTGATCTTCCCACACAGCAGTTTGTAGTTATGAAGGGAAGTCAACTCTATTCTGAGCGCTTTATTTTCAGAATGTTTCCCGACGATCCCCCAGCTTGCCTTTTGGTTGATCTTCCAAAGGGGGTAAGGCTCGCTGCAATATTCCGCTAATAGATGCTAAGATTCCCACAGAACTTTGGTATAACATAGCCTCTGTTGGAATGGTGGGTATTCCCTTGTGCTTGTTCATGTCTGACCTGCAAGCGGAATTTTGGAGAGGATATAAATAGAGCCAGGGCTGAATGCAAGCTTCTTGAGTCAATCGAATGGCGAGCTTCAAAAGAGACGGAATCTTACCTCTGCGTATTTCGCAGAAGTCCTGAGCGGCCGCTTGGCAGATTGTACCTGACCAACCCAGGGCAGATCCAAACTACAGCCCATGTAACAGGCGGTCATGGGCAGAAAATTAAACTGGTGAGATGGAACGTGCAGGGCTTGGGAGACTCAGGAGGTAAACAGACGTGGGTGCATGAACAGGGAATATATATTGTACTCATACAGGAAACCAAGCTCTCGGAAATTAAACTAGGCCAGTTGAAAGATTGGTGGGTAGGGCCTCAAATTTGGTCTCCAGCGCAAGGTAGTAGAGGGGGGGTGGCAGTGCTTATTCACAATCTGTTGGACGTTGATTTGGTGGACTGTGATAATGACCATTGGGGTTGCTGGAGCTGGATCAAACTGAGTATTGGTAATGACTCTAATGAGGACTGGGTCATTGCCTCAGTCTATGCTCCTAATGACCAGCTGGACAGAATTGGATTCATTGAAATGTTATCTCAAAAGCTGCCTAAGACGGATCATCTAATTGTGAGTGGAGACTGGAATATGGTCAGTAGTCCGGGATGAGATTCAGAAAAGGAAGAGAGGATGAAGAGGGATCCCGGATGGGAGAACATTGTTGCTCTGGGCGGAACATTGGGGTCTGCACGATGCTTACAGGGAAATTAATCCAGTCTCTCCGGGTTTTACACGGTTGAGGACTGCTCTTCAAATGGCTCACGTTCGAAGAAGACTGGATGTTTTCCTAGTCTCAGATCCACTGGCGGGTAGTGTTCAATCGGTTTCAGAGCACAGCGAGGTGCTGTAGGATCACAAGCCCGTGGTGATGTCAATTCAGTCAGCAGAGATAAGAGCACTTATTAGAGGACAAGTGAATCACGGACTGGGTGCAGAACTTTTGGATGGATTGGGAAGGATCAAGGGACACCTTGGGGAACAGAGCGGATTGGGTAGATGCGGGAACTAGAATCGTCTCAAGCTGTCCTTCGGGTCCGGGACATTCGTTAAAATTGGAACAATACAAAGAAGATTAGCATGACCCCTGCGCGAAAAAAATAAAATAAAAATAAAATAAAATCATCTCGAGTAAAATGGAGGTGTTTTCATCAATTGCCTACTATCTCAGGAACAACGAAATAGCAGGAGGTAGAGGAGGCTGAAGCACGTATGGTGGGCCACCCAATCTCAGAAGTTGAAGTGCACTGAGGCAACATGATTGGGAGGTACTACAGAGTAATAAACAGACAAGAAGATTGTTACAGACGACCGGGTGACGAAAGAGACCTTTCAAAGACTGCTCCCGAAAAGGAGGGCAGTCCAGATGAAAGAGTTTGTTCATCCTCATCTCAGCAGCTTACCACCAACAACTGAAAACGCCAATATGCAGATGAAAGAGCTTGTTCATCCTCATCTCAGCAGCTTACCACCAACAACTGAAAACGCCAGTATGTGCACTTACGCAGCAGCTTATTTCAGAGACATAATGACCTCTCGTTCCCAGTTCGAAGATCCGAACTCAGATTTGTCTGCATACTCAGATCTATGGGCTTCCTTGGGAGTGGCACTGACAAAAGGAGCCAGGCAGGAATTAGACAGACCTTTTATGGCGGAGGAGCTGAAGGCGACATTGGGCACGGTGGCTAAAGGGAAGGCACCAGGTGATGACAGCCTCCCGATGGAATTCTACAAGGTATGCTGGGATACTCTGGCAAACAACCTCATTTTGATGTTGAATAAAGTGCTCCAGGGTGGAAGATTGGGGGAGACCATGACAAGGGGCATCATCATCACTCTGTTGTACAAGAAACTTGAAGAAAGGGAGCAGAAGCAAGATTAGGAACTGGAGGCCTATCTTGCTGTTGAATTTCTCCTACAAGCTACTAGCCAAAGCGCTAGCAAACAGATTGGGGAAATTCCTGTCGGGGTTAGTAGGGATGGATCGGGGAGCTTTTGTCTCTCTCTCTTTGGGTGTCTCAAAATGAATCCATCCCATCAACCATTTTTCTCATCCGAAGTCCATGAGGAGCGTCAATCCTTATCCTGTACACACACACACACACACACACACACACACACACAGAGAGAGAGAGAGAGAGAGAGAGAGAGAGAGAGAGAGAGAGAGAGAGAGAGAGAGAG